CAGCTTCCCCCAGCCCTTCCCCATCCCTGGGGCGTCACCTGGAAACCTGAGCTCATCCCCAAGGATAGGGCTAAAAGCTCTTTGTTCCATCCTTCCCTAAAGTCTGTTTCAGAACTGCAGCAGCTCCCTTGAGGACCCATGGCTCTTTCACTAAGCCTTACTCTCTCCTTCCATCTCTCTCTTGGGAATAGTAACTGAAACCTGAGATGGGTGGGCATGTCTGACGCCAGCTGTCTGTCTGGCGCCAGCTGAACTCAGCCCCTCCCCTGGTCTTTGAGAGCATGCTCAGTGGCTGGCGGATACCCTCATTTCTCTACAGGCCTCAGGGTACTATGGGCATGTTACATTCATCACCACATCCCATAATACCAAGGTAGTTTTTATGGGAATTGGGGGCCTGGGGTAGGGATGAAAGGGATGGGTACAGGCCCCAAGTGAATCCTGGTATACTTGGGATGATAACTGGAAGGTAAGACATTTAAACCATTCTGAGTGATGAACTCATTTTTTCTAGTGTCATGCTGACCACTACTGAACCTTCTCCTTTATTTCCTGTTAGCAGTGTCCCTGTGATCCCACCACTGTGCCTTATTTTAAGAAGGCCCCAAGTATATTTCTTTTTTTTTTTTTTTTTTTTTTGAGATGGAGTTTCCCTCTTGTTGCCCAGGCTGGAGTGCAATGGTGCAATATCAGCTCACCGCAACCTCCACCTCCTGGATTCAAGCAATTTTCGTGCCTAAGCCTCCTGGGTAGCTGGGATTACAGGCATGCGCCACCACGCCTGAGTAATTTTTGTATTATTGGTAGAGATGGGGTTTCTCCATGTTGGTCAGGCTGGTCTCGAACTCCCAACCTCAGGTAATCTGCCTGCCTCGGCCTCCCAAAGTGGTGCAATTACAGGCGTGAGCCACTGCGCCCGGCCTATTTATTTCCTTTTTTTTTTTTTTTGAGATGGAGTCTCACCCTGTTGCCAGGCTGTAGTACAGTGGCATGATCTCAGCTCACTGCAACCTCTGCCTCCCAGGTTCAAGCGATTCTCCTACTTCAGCCTCTCGAGTAGCTGGGACTACTGGTTCGTGCCACCTGAGGTTACCTGAGGTCGGGAGTTCGAGACCAGCCTGACCAACATGGAGAAACCCCATCTCCACTAATAATACAACAATTAGTCAGGCATGGTGGTGCATGTCTGTAATCCCAGCTACCCAGGAGGCTTAGGCACGAGAATCGCTTGAATCCAGGATGTGGAGGTTGCAGTGAGCTGAGATTGCGCCACTGCACTCCAGCCTGGCCAACATGGTGAAACCCCATCTCTACTAAAAATCCAAAAGTTAACTGGGTATGGTTCTGCATGAAGCATACTGAATTGAATATGGTTGAACCCTGGAGGCAGACGTTGTGGTGAGCCAAGATCACACCATTGAAAAACAGCAAAGAAAAAAAGAGCGAAACTTCGCCTCGAAAAAAAAAAAAAAAAAGAAAAAAGAAATGGCATTATAAGCACATAATATAGAGTTATGGCAGTAACTGCCAGAAGAAATAGCTGAAAAAGTTAAAAGTGGTTGCCTCTGGGAGCTGGATGGAAGGGATGGTGAGTGGGATATGATTGATGGCTGTTGGTTTTCATTAAGGGCCTTTTTCACTCTGTGATTTTCTAGATCTGTATATATGAATTAGTTGAATAAAAAAGTTTAGGCTGGGTGAGGTAGCTCACACCTGTAATCCGCACTTTACGAGGCTGAGGCAGGCAGATCATGAGGTCAGGAGATCAAGACCATCCTGGCCAACATTGTGAAACCTTGTCTCTACTAAAAATACAAAAAATTAGCTGGGCATGGTGGTGCGTGCCTGTAATCCCAGCTACTCAGGAGGCTGAGGCAGGAGAATTACCTGAACCCAGGAGGCAACAAGAGTGAAACTGTCTCAAAAAAAAGAAAAAGAAAAAAGAAATGGCATTATAAGCACATAATATAGAGTTATGGCAGTAACTGCCAGAAGAAATAGCTGAAAAAGTTAAAAGTGGTTGCCTCTGGGAGCTGGATGGAAGGGATGGTGAGTGGGATATGATTGATGGCTGTTGGTTTTCATTAAGGGCCTTTTTCACTCTGTGATTTTCTAGATCTGTATATATGAATTAGTTGAATAAAAAAGTTTAGGCTGGGTGAGGTAGCTCACACCTGTAATCCGCACTTTACGAGGCTGAGGCAGGCAGATCATGAGGTCAGGAGATCAAGACCATCCTGGCCAACATTGTGAAACCTTGTCTCTGCTAAAAACACAAAAAATTAGCTGGGTATAGTGGCACCTGCCTGTAGTCCCAGCTACTTGGGAGGCTGAGGCAGGATATTGCTTGAACCCAGGAGGCAGAGGTTGCAGTGAGCCAAGATCGCGCCACCACATTCCAGCGTCATGACAGAGATTCTGTCTTAAAAAAAAATTAATAAAAATTTAAAATTGGATAACTTGCATTTAATTACTTCATTAGTATGGAAGGATCAGTGAAATAATTGATATGAAAAAGAGGTTTGTAAATTATATACTGTTATTCAGTGGAAAGTTATCATGTTACTGTTGTGTTGACTAAAAGGCAAAAATGCTGTATTTGGTAGACAATAATGTATTAATTAACTATGGCCGCAATAGTGCAGGTCACAAAATTTGAGTAACACATGATAATAAACGCTCATTTTTGCTTTTGAGAGTAGAGTCAGCTTGTTGGCTTGACGATCTGAGCCAGGTTTGGTTGCTCTCACTTGGGTTTGCTCATGTGTCTGAGCAGATGGACTGTAGTTCTTGGCTGGTGGGGGATGGCTGTGTTCCCCACATGTGGAACAGTTGGATGGCTGTCAGTGAGAGCATCAGCTTTCTCCCACGTGTTCTGGCATCCTCCACACTATTACTTGTGCCACATTCTTTTGGCAAAAGCAAGTCAAAAAATGTGGGGAAGTCACTTCCATCTCTTCATGGTAGGAGCTGCAAATTCACATTGAAAAGAAGGGATGGGGCTGGGCGCGGTGGCGCAAGCCTGTAATCCCAGCACTTTGGGAGGCCGAGGAGGGTGGATCACGAGGTCAAGAGATCGAGACCATCCTGGTCAACATGGTGAAACCCCGTCTCTACTAAAAATACAAAAAATTAGCTGGGCATGGTGGTGCGTGCCTGTAATCCCAGCTACT